TTAGACCGAGCCAAAGCTATTACAAACGCCAAATATCCTTATGTTGCCATGTTAGCAGAGCGGTACCTGGCTGTATCTGCTACCTCTGTCCATAGAGAGGGTGTTCTCCACAGCAGGAGACATTGTTAGTGCCAGCAGATCTGCCCTTTGGGCAAGCAATGTGGACAAGTTCATTTTTCTTTAAAAAAACTTGAAAATACAATGACAAGCAAGCAAGTCATAATGTCAAACTGGCTGCTTAGGTACTAGTACAGTTCAAATACAGATTATTTCAGTTCATTGAAAAGCTGCACCTTAATGTTTATTTTATTATATTTTGTATTTATTTGAGTGAATACATTATTCACAGTTTAATAATAATAAAAAAAAATAAAAAAATGTTTTATGTTTTGTGATCATTTGTTCTGCTGTACCGAAAACGTACCGAACCGAACCGTGACCTAAAAACCGAGGTACGTACCGAACCGAAATGTTTGTGAACCGTTACACCCCTTGTGTATAGTTAGATAGTGATGTTACTATGTCGCAGTTGTAAACAAAGGAGTCCAATCAAGGCAAAGGGGGGAGGTTGTGGGAGAGAAACTCCCTCTGGCGTGAACTTTGGGATTTCATCCTTTTCAGACCATTTATATGCACACCTTCAGGACACTGATAGCACATTTCCCATGTCAGAACATATTCTTTTGGTTTAATAAAGCAGGCAAAAAGGAAAGAAAATAAATACGAGGACAGTGACAATAAATAGCAAGCCTTCACTTTCATTTTTGTAATCCAATCAGGTATCGACCATGATAATTTATTAACAGAGTCATCTTTCAAGGATTTATATGACTACCACGTAGGATTGTTGAGAACCACAGTACTGGGATATGCAAGAGGGTTTATTTAAAATTTCCATTAAAAGTATGACCTTTTCTGAACCCACAAGCTAGAAACCATTGATTGGTGTGTCCCTTTGGATTACAAAGGAGATGGATTCCGTTTCAAAATAACTTATAGCTGAGAAATCACAATCCTTTCTTTACAACAAGTTTTTCATGTTTCATATTGTCAAAGAATAATTCTTCCTTACTCCTAAGATATTTAACCTTTCTGTGTGTTGACGTTTACGACCAACCCTGACTCGTTATCTCCTTTAAAGAATGTGCTGCTGCACTTATTCTCAGTTTTATGACCGGTCAACTCTCGGTCAGCCTAAGAGTATCTCCAGATGTTGGCGATATCTCCAGTGTTCCCAGGTGTTTACGCACCATCCCCCAATATGTGGATTAACTCTCTGTAAACTAGTTAAAAGGTCTATCAGAGAGAGGCTGGTGAGATTTGACATGGCAACCCACCAGGGCAGTCAGAATCTCTGGCTGCTGTGACTTGAATGTGAATTTCTCCGGCCGATACTTGTAAATAAACATCAGTGTTTGACATCAAAGCTCCAACTCTCCTCGTATCTCTCTGAGTCCTGACTCTCCATTGCTGCAGAAGTTTCCCTTACATATATAAGTATCATGTTTTATGTGATGTCAGTTATAGATCTTCTCATGGAAGGTCTAATTAAATAATAAGCACTAATAAAGGGTTCTACATAAACCCATAACAATTTATGCTTTAGCGATACATGTTTTCTTTGCAAAGCTGAAAGGTTTTAGAATCAATGTATGAGTGACGGGGCCTTGTTTGCAATTTAAAAAGTCTTGTTAGCATTTAATGAGCTTCTTGTAGTTAATTCAAAACATTACAACATTGCAGTTGACAAGAATATAATTTGTGATGCTATAAAACATAAAATGGAGCAATAACCACAGGCTCTGGTTGATGATCATAAATCTATTGAGACTAATGAGCCATCAAACCCAATCCCATTCATTAGTAAACTGTGAGTTTATACGTTTGTATGTGGTGCTAATGAGTGAGGATTATATTAGCGGTGATCCATAACTGATGCTAAAGGATGGTATGTCTTTCCATTGTGGTGCTCCCATGTGACAGCATTGACATATGGTAATCCATAAATCTCTAAACAGCCCCGGGGGACATTTGCGCTGTAGTCTTATGTACAGTCTTGTATGCATCACAAACACTGACCTTGAGTGTGCCTCCCATTGGGAAGATTCAGCACAATCTATGAGAGCCCATTCACATGCAAATAACCCCCACCATCACTGTATACAGTTCTTCTGTCACCGGTAATGACTTGGAATTGCCTAGAAACATGCAACATATCTCCATGGAACGAGTCTATGGACCTGGACCTTTTAAATATACACTTTAATTTGATGTATGTCCACAGCAGGTGGTAAAACATCCCCTTGCTCTTTTTTACTTGAAGCACCAAAAATAATGCATTGCGCAAAAACGCCCACCCTCCTACTCATTCAAATGTGGGGGCCACAGAAGATGCTAATAAAAAAAACTTGCTGCCTTGAACATTAAAACATAAACTTTATTTTTTTTTTATTAATCTCATTTAACACTGCGATGGCAAATCTCGTAATCTATTATCAGACCGGAAGAGGCCTACTGGAAGAAAAATGTTGAATGACTTTTGTAAAAAACCCAACAGTTTCCTCTGGTTTGTGTCTGTTTGGTGGTGTTTGCTAAGAACAGGGCCAGGTAGGGATTCAAAGTTCTTCTTCACAGTGTTCTCAAGATTATTTCATCACAATGGGCCCTTTCAATGACACACCCTCACCGCAAGCCCTTGCTAAAAAAAAAAATGCTTGATTTGTTATGACCCTTGAGTACTGAGCCACCCCATCCTGTTCTGTACAATCCCATCCTTTAGGCCCTTCATCCTAATTTAAACTCTTCTGTTGTAGCCCTTTCCAGCTCCCACTAAATAAAAGTTGCGTCATTCTTGCCCATACTGGCCTGAACTGTCCTTTTTCTGTACTTTCCTAAACTGTTCTGTCTGTCCCTGCACTATCCTTATCGTCCCGTCCAATACTCTTGGGTCCTGAACTATTCTGTTCTCTCCCTTTCTGTCCTATCCTGAACTATTCCTTTTATCCTGGCCCAACCAGCCTTTTTTTTTTTTGCATTGTCCTGCCCGCTTTTCTCCCATTCAACAAAAAAACCTGGTCTATCCTGCTCCACCTTGCATTGTTCTGTCCTAGACTGTCCTTTCCCTCCTGTTCTATCCCATCCCAACTTTGCATTATTCTGTTTTTCTATTGTGTCCCGTCTTACTTTGTTCTGTCTCATTATATGTGTCTGTATGCTCTGTATGTCATATCCTGAACCTTACTGTTCTATTCCAACCTTACTTACATTGTTAGACTGTGTCGTTCTGCACTATCCTTTTCAGTCGTGTCCTGGTACTGAACATTCTTGTGTTGACCGGTGTTGTATTATTCCATCCAGTCCTGCACTGTTCTGTCCTGTCTCCTGAATCAGGGTTCCCCAATTAGTGCTATAGCCAGTGGCGGTTCATGATCAATTTTACCGGGGGGGCCATGCTGGGGCCAGTTATTTAATGTGAGGGGCACATTTAATGTGTTGGCGAAGGAGACAAAGACAGTGTTCCAGAGTACAACACTTTTAGTTCAGTATAAAGTTAAAACGTGAAAAAATGTCAATAATTTACTAACAATTTTATTTTTTTACTTTTAGTGACTTATTTTCAGTTATTTTGGCACAAGTTATAGTACAGTCACTTCGTTACAATTTTATTAAATTACATTAATGAAAAAAAAAACATTCCTCAATTTTGACCCAGGTACAGCAACAAACATTGCATTATCATAGATTCTTCTGGGCCACAGCAGTGCTCAAGCTCAGTGTTGCAGGCCCCCCACACCAGAACCGCCCACGGCTATTGCGCCATCTCCCCTCTTAATGTCACCCTTGCTGCAAAATGACATGAAACATATATCACATTTATATGTTTGCTGCCAATCATAAGTCTTTATATGCATGTCTAATTGTTGGTGTGTGAACCAAGCCAAACCCAGCTGAGCCTCAACAGCAGATCAAAGGCTTATCCATGCGTCAACCACAAGACTGTTTCATTCTGCTCCATCCACTAGGCTTGCTTAAATTCGATTAATGACAGAAGGAGTGGACGCAGAAATGTCCTGTTTGAAGCCTGACTCATCTCATATGACTATTGGGGGAGGAAGGCAGTGTTTCGTGAGGAAACTTGCTAACTTTGCAGATGAGCGCTACATCACAGAGGCGGCATGGAAAATGGGTCAGGGGTTTTGCACGATGCTCTATTCTTTTCAGTGCTATTATGAAATACAGTGAACAGAGGAAAACACTGTCAGAGACAAACAGCAGTGGTGATATAACAGATGAAATCAAAGTAGTTTTTCATTGAGGTCATGCTTGCTTGGACACAACAGATCTAATACCAGTTACATAGCGACGCATTTGAGTCCTCACATGAGCAAGGTATTATAGCTTTGTGACGGACTAGTGAGGGTCAGTCAATTCTGTCTCTCTCTCTCACACACACACACACACACACACACACACACACACACACACACACACACACAAAACCTCTCTCCAACTCTAAATCTCCCTTTGGGTAATCAGACTGTGTATTTTTTTCAAATCTGTCACTAATCTCTAATATTGGCATGACACACTGGACAAGGTTAGCTTTCAGACTGTGGGTACATTTTTCAATTCACAAACAAATACGCATTTTGTTAGAAATCTGAAGCGGACATTTTCTCAGACTTGCGAATACTCTTATATACAAGCATGTGGGACCTTTTATTGTGCATGTAATGCCAAGCCCACCATGACACACAGATGTCAAAACAGATGCCACAGACGACGTCTCTCTGCAGTTGGCAAGAGTTTAGGACGGTTAAAAAATGGCAGGATTTGAGAGAGAACAGCAATCGTCAAATAGTATGATTGCTAAAATAGTATAATCCATCAAATTGGTGAAAAGATTGGCTAAGGTATTTCATCCATTTCCAGAGTTTTGAGTCCTGGCACATACAGTATGATTTTGGTGTGTTTAATTATTGTGTTTTTTGTTTGTGTAGGAGGCGCTGCAGGACTTTGCTTTCCTGGTGTTTGTGGTCGTCTGCGTCCTGGGATCCATCTACCTCTATTTCGTCCTCCCTGAGACCAAAAATAAAACATTTATGGACATCAGTCAGAGCTTTGCCAAGATCAACAACATCCCTGTCCCCTCCCCTGGCCAAGAGATGGAGCAGGTCCTGTCCTTTAAGCCTGACATGTATGGAAAGGACATCATTAAGATGGAGAGCTCTTTCTAGCTTAACAAACTAATTGTTGGTAAGCAGGGTAACATATTTATTTCATGACAATAGTCAATGAAATGAAAATCAATAGTTTTGTTTCAATGCATTTTGGTATTTTTATATATTTTGTATGACTGGAATATTTAGGAATAATAGTTTACAGCAATTATTTGTTTATACCTCTTATTACAATTAAACAAACCAACAAGAGTTTAATATACAGTATGTAACAATCATACATTTCAAACACCCTTAGTGGAAATCATTCAACAGTCACAAAAGGAATTGTAATGTGACTGAGGGTGGCTTGCATACAATATTGATGTGCACACTATTAAACTTGGACCTGTATTAACTGATTATTATTTTGCCTTTTGGGGGGTTTTGCCAACCTAATATAGGATAGTAGAGCCATTTTATCCTGCTACAGTAGCATACCCTGGCTTATTTACTCCATCAGATTTGGAAACACTAGCACCCTTCTCGAGTTGTGTCTGTGTCAACCAATTTCCAATCTTCATTCTCTTTTTTCAGCTGTTGGTATTTAAGCTGCTACTAAATACTTAATTTCACCAGTTTATCCCTAACATCAGGTGTTGAGTTTGCGAGTATGAGGTTTTTACATGGAAACATCCGCTTCCAGTGGTAAAAAACAACTCTGATGAAAGCAATGAGACTGAACAAAAGCAATAACGTTTTGAATGATAAAATGAAAACAATGAGATAAAAAAGTTTAAACGCCATGAACAGCTGACAGGAGAAGCAATGTTGGGTTATACCAGTGGTTCCCAAAGTGGGGGGTGCGAGAGAGCAGGAGGAAAAATGGTTATTAAAAAATCATAGTTTGAAAAATTATTGATTCGAAAATAATACGTCTGGGTCTCTGTGTTTCATTAAAGCTCGGCTCTGTGTGTGTGTGGAACAAGACATTTTGTGTGCGAGAGAGAGAGAGCGCACCGGTACCGGAGATCGTTGTTGTTAGCTTCTGGTGCTAGCGAGCTACGCTAACGGATATAAGGAGTTTTTTCAACAACAAAGTGGAGGAGAGTCCTCTCCTGTCTGACTGAGAGGCTCAGTGAGCTAAAGGACTCTCAGTGTTATCTCAGTGGGTCTCAAACGTTTTGGTCACCATTAATGTAAACAATTATTTCCGAGGCACACGTTTATATGATCATTATAGTTATAATTTTTTTTGAGAATAAATGAAAAACAGGTATGAAATACTATATGACAGTAAAAAAAGAATAAAGTTTAAAAGGGTGATTTTGTAAAATATCCATAAAGAAAAAGTAAATCTGTTTACAGTTCTGTTTCAAATGGGTGTTGAGAGAGGTATCCATAGATCTCTTCATGTCGCTCTCAAAGTGCACCAGATTGATGCTTTTAACTTCAATATTTAAAAATAAATCTTCCCGGGGGAGCTTGCCCCCGGACCCCCCTATGTAAGGTCCACACACCAACTATAAAAATAGGACTTTACCCCTGCTTACACCTATATGCCTCGAGCCTTCATTGTAACTGTCACACTGTGTATATGTGTGGGGATTGTTGCAGTAGAAAATTCCACTGTAGCGACCGGTACATTAATGGGAAACCCTAAATGTTTGAGCACCCTCTATGAAACGTCAAGCTACCCCACAGCACCCCAAAATAAATATCTGGCGCCGCCACTGAGCCTGACTATTTGTGTTGGGGGGGCCCGAATTTTTTTTTTATCCAAAGGGGGGGCCTGACAGAAAAAGTTTGAGAACCACTGGGTTATACAATGAGTTTCATAACTACAAGGGACCTGAACGACTGAAAGCTGAGTTTTTACTTTGAATGAACCAGATCAGCATCATATTGATCAGATTCATCCTTGTGGTCATCACAAAGCAGATTCATAATAAGAGAAGGCCAGATGTGTCTGAGAAGAGACATATATCCGAAGGATCAGGGCCGTCCCTCCCTACAGGCCGATCATGCAGACTGCATGGGGCCTCACCTTGCGGAGGGGGCCTCACTTTGCGGAGGGGGCCTCACCTTGTGGAGGGTGCCTCAACTGAGCCGAAAATGCGGTGCACCTATGCGCTTATGAGGCGCAATTAGTGTGGCGCGGCACGGTTTCGCCGCTGCGAGGCTCCACTAGCACCCACCCGTCGACGCTCGTGAAACAGAGGGCCTCACACAACTTTGCGTGGGGCCTCATTTTGGCCAGGGACGGCCCTGCAAAGGATTATAACCGTTGTGCCACCATTAAGACAACAAGAGAGAGAAAGAAAGACCACTCGGGGAGCCCAGTAAAAAGGCTGAAGGGGACACGACAATTTGTTGGAGCCTCTCCAAATCTGAAAGGCACCAAGGCTAAACTTCCCCCAGATGGCGGAAGCCAGCGGAGGAAGTGATCTGAAAAGAGGCAGACAAGCGTGGCATTGGATAGCAGTCTCCATTTGCTCCACAGTAGGGTGTACGAAACTGCCGGTTTGGTAAAAAAACAAAAACCCATCCTCCCACATAGACACACACAAATACAAAGTTGTGTGTGCTGTGCGATGATACAGGGGTGTCCATGTAATGAAATGGCATTGTTGAAGAAATGTGAGGAAATTTGTATTCCTCATGACTCTAATTCCTGATCTTATCCAGTGAGCTCATTCAACAGATTACTTCTTTCCAACTGGCAAGCAGGCATGAGCAGTGGGAAGAATAATAATTGGATCTGTTGTCTCTCATAGCTCTGTTCCAGCATGTTACTTTTGAGGAGTTACACTCACAGCGATGTTAGTTAGTGGGTAATTGACAGGAAGATATGTCGGCGATTACAGGTGGACGATCAATTAAGAGACTTCAAAGCAGAAAAAACATACACACTACATATTTATGAGATGCATGTGGAGCTGTCTGTGATATATCGCTGTTGGTCCAACCTCTCAGAAATCTACCTTCCACTATGCAAAGTAAAGAAAAGGCAGTGCTGTATAATTCCTGCAACTGTCAACTCTAATAAGGGTGAATGTTACAGAGATGTAGTTTGCAGCATTTTTTTCTTGTATTTAGCAAAATTGTCAACACAATTTCAGTGAACCTTTTTTATATATACTGTATAAATCATTCACACTCGGAATCTGATTTAGTGCTCAATTTGTGTGAGAGTTTGTAAACAAATACTTTGATAGACATTTTGCAAGATTGTTTGGGACATCAAACGGATACGTATTTGAAATACAAAAGTTAATTTCATGGGTGAAGTAATCCTTTAAACCTTTATAAAGATTAATCAACGGCTTTCCTAGCAACACGTTATTAAAAGGTGGAGCTGGTGGGGAGAATCGGAAAGCAATTCACACCTCCCCCCTCCCTAATCACTTTACAAAGATGAAAATCACGACCCCCAACAGATTTACTTTAAACCAGGATTGCAAGTGTTCATTTAATTTTCAGAAGGGCTTAGCTGCCCTCTTTTGATGTGATGAAAAACTGAACAGTCACCAGTTCTGTGGAATAACTCTGCTCTCCAGTGAGGATGCCCGTAATGAAGTGTGTCCATCAGACCCAGGTTCAGTTTTCTGATTCAACTTTTATTTAAAAGGCTCCTATTGTGCAGATATTATGGGTCTCAGATACATAAACATATATTAAAAACATGTCTATGATGTGTTTGGCTCAAAATATCAAACAGATCATGCATTTTAGAAATCCCTCATATCCCTCTGTTTCAGGCCTGTTATACCTCACTCACACCAACGGTGTTTCAGGGCCGGCTCGGAGCTGGAGCTTGAAAAGCACCGGGTTTTCCTGTTCACACCTCTTAGCTCCGGAATCCGGTTCGTTTCAAGCACCAACAAATTGTCCGGCTAGAGCAAAAGCACCGCATACGTCACGCTTACATCGAGGCGGGGGCAGGGGCAGGGGGAATCGGAATTGTCGTTGAAGTTGATGATTACGATTGTAAAACAGTTTTGAATGTAGCATGTAACGACTGTAAAGTTGGTAGTAAAGTCGTCCCATTTCTTCCATTTCGTTTCGACAGAGCGAAACCAAAACGAGTAGCGCTTCAACACAATCGGCCATTGTTGTTGTTGTCTGTGTCAGCTGTGAGGGGTTTCCGCGCAGTTTGGCTTTATGAAGCAGGCACGCAAACGGTTACGTCATGACACAAACGATGACGCAATGACGCAGCACCAGTCGGACTCTAGGCGGTGTGAAAAGAGCCGGAGCTAAACCGAAGAACCGGTTCTGAACCTGAAAAGCTCTAGCACGAGGCTTGAACCGGAGTTGCGTTGGTGTGAATGAGGTATGTGAGAAATGCAGATTTTGGGTCCTTAGCTTGAAAAAATAAAAAGAGGAGGGAGAGCTTGTGCCTGCTCAGAATTCTACCGGAGATAAAGCTAAATGCTGCCGCGAATAAATGCCATATCATGTTCCAAACCACATCAAGGATTATTTCTGAAACATTATGGAGCTCAAATGCTATTTCTCTTGCCAGTGTACCACAAGTTGAGTTCTTTTTTTTATTTCCTGCTTCTTTACACATACTCTCTCCAGTACAGGTTAGCTCTGAGTGTTAGCATGCTTGCTGATGTAAACAAAGACAATATTACGTCCAACACACGTCATTGTTTCTGATAGCAACTTTCTGATAGTGCTGTGGGTCCACATTTCCGATATTACGTCATATCGGACACAAATCTGGATCAGCTACCGCCATTTTTAGAGATTTGGGTACGGAGGAAAAGAGAGAGGGTTTTGTTTTCTGACACTTTGAGTTCCCTGACACACCGGGGACACATATTTATGTATACTGTGAGATTCAGAATATGTTTTTATAAGGGCAGCATACAGTTTCACATAAAAGAGATTTAAACAATGAGCAGTTAGCATAAAACAATGAATTAGCAGGGTTGAGTAACAGCACTAGTGGTGGGATAGTCTTTAATCCTGTTTTCATAAACTCCCATGATATCAGGGCAGTTTGTGTAGTATCCCTTTATAAAGAAAGATGTGATATGAAGTAAGAGAAGCCAGCTTTCTCACACAAACTACAGTAATCCATATCCGACTAGCTGTGACCGAGGTTATCTACAATGTCATCGTGCTTTGCAGCGACAGGAGGCTGTGCTCTTTATTCTGCAGGTGTGTCAATGCAGTGATGAATGGGTCAATCACTGCATTGTTGTCTTTCCGCCTCCACATACTCTGTCTCAGCAGGAAGACCCTGCTACAGATGTCTTTGCTGCTTGCATCATGCAGAGGGCTGTCTGTCTCAGCTGGTCCCACACTGTTCAGTGTCCTGTACTGTATAGAAGAGTCAGAATATGTCAACTCTCTTTTGTCCATTTTTACTCTTCAATCAACAAAACCATTAACGTTATAGTATATGCTCCATAAACTAGAAGCACTTTATCATGCAGTCTTCGGGTTGCGACTTTATTGATAAGGTCGTTCTCTTCTTTTCATCTCCATTTGCATGCTTTTCTTCTCATCTACATACCATTATCCATATGTTTTCATCATATCTATGGTAACTTGGAACACACAAATCCAGACTTTTCATCTCCATGCATGCATGGTTGCAACACTAAACAGTAGTTTAATCATCTCACTGTGCGCAGATGTAATATGTCCGGTTTATACTCGACACATCCCTGAGGGTCGTGAGAGTTTGCACGACCAAGATGACGTCACACCATCAAGCACAGCCTTTAGCAGGGGCTTTCCTTGGGTTGGTTTTCCAATGCATGTGCAAAGAAAAAAAACGTTGAGGGGCTTTGGGAATATAAGTTTATCACAAAGATAATTAGCCACGGAGTATAAAAGAGCAAAGGTT